GTGGTGCTCATGTGTTTATTTATAGAGTTGACACAGCCCCCCTCTCTTTTTTCTTTTTTATATATATATATATATATATATATATATATATATATATATATATATATATATATATATATATATGCGTATATGTGTTTGTGTGTTTTCTTACCTCTGAAGCATAGTTGTGTCCGTCGGTGCCACATACTGGTGAAGATGCGGCAACAGGGCAAGGCTTGCAGCTGCTTTCACGTAGCTCTTGCTGTCCTGACTGTTTAACTCTGAGGATGAGAGAGAAAAAAGAAAAGATACTCTTTCTAGCATTCACATCTGCAAAATACAGTCCAGGTCAAAAGGTTGTAAGCACTCAAAGCTGACTAGAATATCCACTGTTTGGGCTTTTAAGTATTTATTTTTGGCCTTTCTTCTTCCGGTGTGGAGACTGTTTCTAAAAGTTACATTTGTAAATTTTCTCCTATCAACACAGGATGACAAGTGTGCAATATATTCAATAAATAAATTTAACAATACTTGGTTAAACATCCCTAAGACAGTTGTGGAGAAACTGCACACATTGTGGTCATCAACAAGCTTTAGGTAAAAAAAAAACTTTTAATACATTTCACACCAGTTTTCTCAACAGAAACCGCAAAGCTCATTTAAATTTGCTCCTTATTGTTCTCCACTATTCATCCATTTTGTGCAGTTCACCATTACTGCCATCAGTGAAATGAACCTCAGCATGATGCTGCCAAACACCATGTTTGGTGGTGTAACGTTCTCAGTTTTCATAGGAAGCGCGTCGGTTTTGGTTTATGCCTTCCCACACTCTGCTAATCTTAAACTCTCTTCACAGTTGCTCCAGAATGTCCCAGTTTATGGTAAGCCTGAGGCTTAGTGGTTTTCGGGTTGTACTCTACCAATTCTAGGAAGAATTGTCAAATATTTAATCAGAATTCATTTTAAAAATTCTACTCTAATCAGATTTTCTATAATTGGAAGTAGCTGGATTTTATACATTAAAAAAAAAAAAGTAATTTTAACACAGGTGTGCAGACTTTTTACATCACTAACATTCAAAGCAAAAATAATCAATGGTGCTTTTTTTATGATATGTAGTGGGATGACAGGTGTGAGCGTCCTGATGTACAAACTGGTTCCATAAAACCAACCGGCTTCATGCAAAGTCAAAACACGACAGCCTGATTACACAACACTGCTTCATGATGCTATCCAATCAAGTCATTGACAACAGAACTATTTAGACTGCAGTTGTTGGTTTGATTGTTCCCCTGACTGCGACCGAATCCAGCCACTCTTTTTGTGTTTATCTCGTCTCCTCAACTGTTTTTGTCAGCGAGATAAAATTCCATTCCACAAACCTCCAAGGCAGATATATTTCCTAGGAGTGTGAAATTTAAATCAGACAAAAGCGAGAAAATATTTTTGTAATTTCTTTGAACAGATCCAATATTCAACAGCTTGTCCTTTTTCTGGTTTTTATAGCAGCCAACAAACCGAGAGTCCTCGTGTTTAGCAGGTAACAGCATCAGGCTCGGCTGCTAGCGTCGTTATTTACTGGTGCTGGGATGATTTGGTGCAGATACATTCTCACTCATTACCCCTCCCCACACACACACACACACCCCTAACCTCCGCTCAGCAGCGAGTCTGTACATGATGCACTTTATTGAAAAAGATAAACGCCTGTCGCTGCAGATAGACTTCTCAGGTAGTAATAATTCACTCCATTAATTCGTTTCAGGCGGCAACACTGCTCATTTGCTTTTCAATCAAAGTGGAACAAATGAACTCAGGGGAAGATAAATGCTTTTAAAAAGATGTCTACAACTGAACAGGAAGGATTCTTTGTGAAGAGAGGAACCTACATGCAGGCGCCGCAGTGCCGCACAAAGGTTTACATACGATCATCTTTAGCTTAAACTTCCCATTGTCAATTTTGATGGGATTAATTGTGGGATTTTATGATTTTTTTCAAGGGGTGCATGGTAGAGCAGTTGGTTAAAAATCTAAATCACCCTTAGGTGTGAGTGTGTGTGTGCATGGTTGCTTTTCCTGTGTTTTCCTGTGGCAGGACTAATGACCTGTCCAATGGCTGCTGGAGAAAGGCACCAGCTCCCCAGCAACACTAGAGTATAGATAATAGATGGATGTTATATTTTCAAGGTGGAACCACTGATTTTTATAAATAAAAATGTATTTTGTATTTTAGTACGTGAGTCTGGAATGTGTTGTGGATTTTTCTCTAAATCAAACTGTTTCAAATTTATATATAAAGCCTGATATATCTGGATAAAATGTCCCTTAACTAGCTGCAGAAAACCCAAACGCTTCTTTTAAAAACATTAAGAAGCTGCTGGAATAATTCTGACTTAAATATTTGGCTGCTCTTCTTGCAGGGCTCATTTAAATATGTTCATGCCTCGGCGTGACTCAGCTTTCAAGCAACGTTTATGAATTTTTAATGGGGTTGAGGTCATTACCATTTATCAAACTTAATATTAGCGTGCATATGGATTGTAAAAGACAATTTTTCTGGGGAGTTTGGGAACAGTGTTCTTTTGAGTTGTGGCATTTGGTAAGTTTTGATTGTTCAAGCTCAATTTGCAGTTAACGTGACTACAAGTTGTAACATTTCCTCATGTGATGTCATGCATATCTCCAAATATTCTTTAATCTAAGAATATAAAGCTACACAAACACAAGAACCAAAACAAAACTCAGTGCTTTGTTCTTTTTTTTCCCCCAGCACTGCATCTGCTTTGGCAATAGTTCTAAGAATAAATGATTCAGTGTGGGGTTGGTGTATCGTGATTTTAAAATATCACAGTTTCAGAAGCTTTACTTTTTCCCCCTCACAGTGTTTCTGCAGTTTCAGCCTCTTTTAAACAGACACCAGAGGCATTCTGCAGTTTTCTTAAGCTGTCCACCAAAAAAAAAACAGCAGTATATGTACATTGTACAACAGAATGGTTTATATACATTGTTTTGGTCTGTCACATAAAATCCCAAGAAAACACACTGACATTTATAGTTGTTACAAAAGGGCATTAATACTTTGGCAATGCACTGCTTGTCCACTCAGATTACACATCGTCTTTTGCAGAAATAAACCAAGGCCCATTCTTATTCAAGGATTGAAACCTTTCCTACCTCTGCTCCAGTTTCTTGCGATTGATGCATGTGGCCCTCTGGTAGCCCTGAGCAACGCACACCTTATGCCGACTGCACTTCACATTCTGGCAGGGGTCCTTAGTGGTGTCGACAGCTGTGAATGCATAACGAAAATCAACATTGTAGATGCAGAGTTGTCAGTCACAGCTAAAAAGTTTGAAATCTCCGTGTTTTTTCATCTTCTGAAAAAGAGAGGCATGTCGTTGCTGTTTGTTCCTTTTGACAAGCAGCAAGTGTTCGGGGGAATGATCGAGAATGCCCAAAACAGGGAGAGCTGCCATTTCTTTGTGCAGCATTATCGATTTCTGTTGATTCAATACTCCGCCTGAAATTCTCGCAAAACTATGTTTCGCACGAGCAAGCGAGCGCAATGGAAATCAGGAAGTGCGCGGTGGAAAAATAATTCCAGCAGCGCTTCACAAATGAGCCAATTGTCTGCACTGCCAAAAACATAGACGCCCGGTTGTCATTAGTGAGGCGGCACATCATCTGTAGCATCGCCTGCAGTCTCAGGCAGTTGTCTCTGACTGCAAGGGAACCTGACAGCACTGATTGAGCATCTTCTCCTCTCGGCTTGCCACATCTCACTTCCCCCACGTCAACTCGTCACTGTCTTTCCCCATCTTGCTTCCTCTCTCTCTCTCTCTCTCTCACACACACACACACACAGAAACAAACACTCCCATGTCTCATGCGTTCCCTTTTTTCTTCCCTACAGACCCCCACCCTCTCTTCTCCACATCTTTCTTCCACCCCCCCCACACATCTTTTCAGAGAGTCAAGCGGTTCAATGCCAGCCTCTTTTCCACTGATAGACCGAGACGGAAATAGCACAGCATCCTCCACCTGCCTCAGCCAACGGTCAATGCCACTGGAAAGTGGATGTCGCACCTTCGCAGTCCATTTGTCGCCTCAGAAAACTCAGAGGCTCTACATCGAATTAAAAGTGACTGGCAGGAGGGGGAAGGAGGGGGGGGGGGGCAGGCGCCCAGAGAAATTTAAGCTGTGAGATCCTGAGTCAGCTTCAAGCAGCTGTTTCAGTCAACTTGGACATTAAACAAACGGCGGAAAGCCAGACTTCTGCAGATCCGGTGTCTAGGTGCCACCTTAAGGAGCTGGGTGGAATGAAACTGAAGACTTTCTAAAGAACCCACGCATAATTTGAGAAAACATAAATTGTTCATAGTGTTTTTGCATGACTACCCTTTCATCGTGCCGTTGCTTAACAATGAGCGTTTGTTCGTCTTGCACTTCACTACCTGGTGCATTTTAACAGTGATAATTATTACATCAGTTCAAAGCAAACTTCAAGACAAAATTATGTAGATGCATTCAGAGAAAATGCTTTTGATTCATCCTCTGTTAAACAAATGTGCAAAAATGTTCAGCCTAATTAGGAACAGTGGTCGTTTTTGAAAAACCCTTCGAGGAATACTTTTCATTCCAGTTATCAATTTTTTTCACCAATACTTCCAGATCACCTTTAATAGACGAATATAAGCTACATTTAGGTCATTAGTAGCCTTTTTAAATGCTTTAATTAGAGATTTTTTTTTGTTCATCATGCAAGTCTTGACCCAGAGTCGGATTGCAAGTGTAGTAAAAATAATAATTGTGATGCTTTGGGGGATGGCAGCTGATGAAATCCTTGTGTAATATACGGAGAAATAAGGTCTCAACTCGAGCTGAGCTCCAGAAAACTTACTGTTGCTGAGTTCTTCCAACATTAAACGTATGTTAGGAGAGGAAAAAAAAACATACTGTGAGCATGTTAGTATGACAGTACTGTGGGGGAGCATGCCATCATCAGTTGTTTTTATATAAGCCCATTCTGCAACATGGCAACAGCTTCTGTGTGGAAGTTGTTACTGTGGGAACTGTTTATTTTGCCTGGAAGACGGGATTTAAGCAAAAACAGCAGGTTGAAGGCATTCATTCGTTAGTTCTATTTCTCATGTAAAACATTAGATTATAAATTGTTGGCAATCTTTTGGAAATTTGAAAGATAAGTAACGACATTCTCCATGGCATACACACTTGATCTCCTATCTATCTAATCTTATCGCTACTTCACAGTTCCACTAAATTTATAAACTATCTTACGTAAAACTTTTTTTTTTTTTTTTTTTTTTTACCTTGCAATGTTGGACAAAAGTGAGTAATTTATCTTTGAACTGATATTATGATATGGTGCAAATCCACATATTCAGTTCTCCCAAGAGAAGACCGTAGTTTGTTTGGTTCTGTAACTTTGGGATTTTTCAAGAAAAACATTGTTTCATTTTGCTGTCTTTTTCATTTTTCTTAAACACAAATAAAAATAAAACAAATAAATGAATACAAACAGACGCAGGTTAGAACATCAGCAACTGAAGCAACACTAGAAACGGGTATTTGCTCTAGATTCGTCCAGTTGCCAGATAATATTATGCAAGAGGCTACAAAGACTCACTAGTTTTCTTATTAGTCGTGTAGAGCTCATAGCTCATAAAATTTGAAAAACAAAAAAAAACAAAAAAACATTTCATATAAAAGACTTTGTGACCACTACACTTTGATTTGTCCCAGCAGAGGAACAATAAACAAACTTCATTGCACATATGAGCAAATTTGGCCTTTGCACCATCTGAATTAAGGTGCTGGCAGTCTTAAATGAAAACTCCATCTAACCTTACTCAAACCCCTGCAACATAAAATACTCCCAAATAAAACAGACCTATAAAAACATTAAAAGGGGCTTTTTGTTAATCATTCGTTATATGAGTGGGTCTATCCGGTCTTGTCATATGCTTATTACAGGCAGACATCTAAACATAGCTGCCTGCTGAGTCATATCTTTAAGATGGATTGCTACACATTGTTCATGTAAAAATTCATGACTTTTTGAGGCTTCGCAGTCCATTATTTTCTCTTTAAATAAAAAAAAAACACAAAAGCTCATTATGAATTCATGATATTATCCATAGAGCACAAGCTTTAAAAAATGGAATCTTCAAAATGAACAGGAAGGACAAAAAACAAAAACTGGATGCTGGTATTTCTGAGCTTTACGAGAAAAACAACCATAAATCCTAATATTTTCAGTTTTAACTGAAGTGGACCGGGCTCATGTGGCAGCACAGTCATATATGTAGACTTGTGTATCATCAGAACATGTGTTGTAAAAGACTTTGTAGTATTTCATAATCTGAGAATAAAATTGACCAAATAATAAAACCGTGAGGAACATCATGTGATATCTCGTTATTCCGGTTTATAACTACCCAATGACACAAAATATTTCCAGAAAGATTTGAACCAGCCTTTAATTATGCTGTCTATTTTTCTTTTCCGTCTTTTAGTGTCAATTGGTATGATCTCATGTGTGTCGAATGCAGCACTAAGATGCTATAATGAAGAGTCAGATATTTTAGATGCATTGTGCTGTTTAAAATTTTACCTCCTGCTATTATGTGGTGGAAAACATGAGTCAGAAGCTTTCAAGAGGTAAATTTTTTAATTTGCAGTTACACTGCAGGTTATTTATGTTTTTAACTGTGCAGAAAATTGCATTTAAATGATAATAAATAAGTATGAAATACACTTTTTGCCCATGTTAATCCTAAATCCATTATTATTTTTGTTCACTTGCTTGCAACTTAATGCTTTCTCCGAACAGGCATATATGATGAACTTTGACTTCACTTTTTTTTTTTTTGTTGTTGTCATAATTCCTCACAATATTGCAGTTTGTTCTTGTGAAAAAAGTTGAATGGTTTTTATTATTATTATTATTATTATTATTATAGACTCCAACAACAATGTGTAGCTTCACATTATAAACATAATTTATGTATTCTGAAACTCAAAGACAAACAGATTTGATCTAATCTCACAAACTGCTTTATTAAGAAATCCTTACGCAGCTGCTCTACTGTTTGGCTTGCAAACTTGTAAAATCAAGAATTCACTGACACAAACAGGCACCAGCCTGGCAAATGACTGATTTCAAAGTGTGTTTGATGATCTGAAACATTTAAGTGACAAAAAAAGATATTAAATCTGCAAGGGAGTCAATACTTTTTCATAGTACTGGAACACTGCGCCCATTTTCTCTCGTTATAATCACGCCTCTGCAGAAATCCATCTGCTTTTGCATTCCATATTTCTGACATGTTTTCCCATCAGAATCCCCACATATCAACATGGCACCTGAGATCATCAGCGGACCCATTCGACATCCATTTGTTTTCCATTTACTGAAGCACAGTGGGCTAAAATAAAGCCTACATTGGAAAGACTTTTGGTCACTCATTGTGCTTCTAAAATATTAAAGTCTAAGGAAGTCGGGCCCATTAGACTGTCAGCTCATGAGATATGTTCTGCGATTTGTGAAAGTTATAGAAGCTGGAACGGAATATTTTTATTAAAATATTCAAAAAGAAAAAAAAAGTTAAATTGGTTCACACAAAAGATGTCAGGGTCAAGAACGGCAGCTCCTCTGTTAAGTCAGAGCATCAGGCTTTTAGAGCATTCCTTAAATGCAATCTGTTGAGCTGATGTCTCAATCAGCTCACTTGAAAGGCAGTCAGAGGCTGAAATTTTCTGATGTGTCTTTTGTTGCAGGTCTGCTGCTGCACCTTCCAGGAGTCTTTCCTGTCTTGGGAAATTTGCAAAGAAGACGTCTTTGATCAATTAGATCTGCAGAATTAGTCCCAGAGGGAGCTGTGATGGGGTATGAAATCAATTGTATTCAAATGAACGCCACCCACACTCCAGCAAGCAAAGCATTTTTTTTTTTATTTTACAGGATTACACAAGTTATTCCTCTTGTTGTTTTCAGAGATGAGTGGGGAAAAATTCCAGCTTAAGGCAGCACGGCTGGGGTGTTAAGTCCGACACCCCCCTCTTCAGTACTCCCCATTCACCAGGGTCTTAATGAAAAGGGCCTGCTAATTAGCTGCAATGTGCATATATAGGTGTGTGCGCGTGCGTGCGTGTGTGTGTGTGTGTGTGTGTGTGTGTGTGTGTGTGTGTGAAATGATTGATGACACAGTTTATTATTCTGACCTTTCAAAGAGTGAGCCCAAAGCTGGATGGAGAGTAAAACTGAACAGTTGCATAAGCAAAGCAACCACCCAACATCTCAGCTGAAGCTAAACTGGAAACACAGCAGCTGAAACGTAGATGCATGTGTGAAAGTGTCTTTTTTTTTTTTTCAGACTGCCTAACATGGAATTTGAACATGATCATCTCTTTGTGATGTTTAGGAATCACTGATTCATCATGGCACCTGATGAAGTCTGCTTTATAAAGGTTTGTCTCCAGTGTGACCTACTGTACTACAGCATAAATTACAAACTGTTAACGGCAGGCATTTTGGCAAAAACACGGCAATCTTCTGCTTGGGAAAGTCTGAACCATTAGACCCGGCAGAGCATGAATATTCCTGGGTGGCAGTGGATCAGAAATCTGTTTAAAACAGCTTATATAACACACTGTAGCTGCTGATTTGACATCAAAGGTCCACAGATTTATCTAACCCCTATGCACCCATCGGGCATTTTTTAAATTTTTCAAACTCTTCTTTTTTTATTATTATTATTTGGTGATTATTTTGGCTGTGTAACAACTTTTTACATTACATGTTGTCTGAAATCTTCCTTTTAGCAACGTCATTGAAATCCATTAGTCTTGCATAATATTTATATTATGTATTTTGCGATTCAATTCTTGCACCTGATGTTTTTTACAGAAATGTCTTAAGTAACTTCAGATTTGCTGAAAACTTCCAAAAATGTAACCATTTGTTGTGTTGCTCCCTTTTACAATAACAATTTAATTATTTGAAATCTCTATTACGTATCAGGAAAAAAAAAAAAAGGAAAGTTAACGAGGTTTGGAGGTGATTGAAATGCCATTCACCCGGAGAATAAATACTTTTTTCTGCATATGGAGGTCCTTCAGTGATTTTAAAGAACTTGTTTGTGAAAGTAGGAAATCTGTGAAAGCACTTTCTCCTTGAGTAAATTTTCTAAATGCCCAAGGTAAATAACAATATTTCTCTGGTAGCTAAAGTTCGCATTCACATGTTCTCTGTTCCTCCTCCGCAGCTGAATTTCGAAAGGTGAGATTTTCTTTTTCTCAGCAAGGAACCGACCCCTGTGGATGAAAATGAAGCCTGGTGGGAGTTCTGACTTGAGCTCTCGGCAACAAAAGCAATTATAGCTGGCTTTTTTCTAACTAATGGATCCAACTGAAGGCACAACCTCTACTTTTCTGAATCACAGCTGTGTTCTCACCCTCAGCAAAGCTCAGGTACCATAGCCAAGTGCTCCAATCCAGCTGTCTGACCTCAGCAAGTACTAAAAGAAGTCAATGCTTTCACAATAGGTGCCAGGCCATTTTATTGCCTAGAAATGATGCATAATGGCAAGCGATATTTTCCTTTTGTTTTTTTTATAACATGATTGTCTTGATAATAGTGTATATTATTGTAAAAGAACACTTTAAATCAAAGCTTAGACTTATTTGCTCTTTCTGGCCAAATAACAAAAAATAAACAAAAATAAAAACTTTCATTTTTGCCACTCACTTTCGTCAGAGCCGGTGGTCTCCTCAGCATTTCTGATGTAGTCGTCCTGTAGAACAAAAACATTTGCATTATTCGATTTAATTATTTATGCCAGAAAGAAACAACAGGGAAGCTCAAGTCATGAGATAATGGAAATCCAGATAAGCATACATAATTAAAGAATATATAAGAAGTGAGCCATATGCTATAAATAACATTCAGAACTGACTTCATTTGCTGAGGTTATTATGCAGAAGGGAGTTTGCATGTTTCCTACTGAATGTGTAGGTTTTTTTCAAGGTACTAGCGTGGATGGATGTTTAAAACACTGTATGTGGCTGAAAACCAACACCTTACATATGCAATCCTCACCGTAAAGGGTGATGGTATCATACTGCAAAGGTTTACCTTACAACAGTATGGTAGACCCTAAATGACTGTGGTGAAGTTACAAAGGATCATGTCATATTCAGGCATTAGAATGGCCTATTCAAAGTCCAGATCTAAATTAAACTGAGAATTTGTAGAGAAACGTGAGATCTCCAGCTCTTCTAAAATGGGTTTGTGCTATTTTTTTCTCTTACAAAGTAATGACTTTGGGGTGGAGTTGAACATAAACGCCAGCTCTCCTTGTGAGATTTCTTTTTGAAGAAGTCTTGAAAACCACATGTCTTCGAGGAAGGCTGGGGTATGGACGCAAGAAAAGAAAACTAATGAAATCTTGCCTGTTATTGTCCATAACAATATAAAAACAGAAGCTGCAGCTGGAGCAACAAACCTAAGCAAACTTCCTAAGCTGAATTCCCTCCAGGTGTTTTAGTATCGACATGACATGAAGCTACAACTAATCGTACCCCAGTGTGCAGTGGAGTAGGTAAAGCTGGTCTTATATGCAAACAAGCAGCGATTAACAGACACAGCATGTTGTTTTCTTCCAAACTACATCCAGCTATCGCACAACTGCCTTGAATTTCAATGGGAAAGAAGATTATCTATAATATAATTTTAACTCAGGAGGACAAATGTCATACTTTACAGATTGAACTTGCAAAAAAATGGACAATCATTTGTCATTTCCTACTATTTTTCTGCTACGTCTACGGAGTAAGACTCAAATAAAACAAAAGGCTCAGTTGTTACACGCCTTTGCAAGCATGTATTGTGTTTACTAACACAGTTCCTCCTTGACTCGTTGACTTGGCGACACGTCAGAGAACAAGCTCACATCAAAAATAATTTTACACTTCTGCAGTTCTGGGAAAACTGAGCAAGCACCAGGGATCCTGAGGATCTTTAGCAAGAGGTCTGTTTACATTCCCCGGTAAAGAGTGAAGATCTAAACACATTCTGAATCATGCAGGCATAGTTTCTAAAATAAAGCAATCTTCACAAAGCCAGGCTCTGAACTTTAAATACATCACCGCTCCTGCGCCGTGAACGGGGAATATTTACAAACGAACACTTTTTTTTTTTTTTTAAGTTGTCCCTGAAGCCGTTGTGCTGGAATGATAAATTCTGTTTCGCCCGTTTTCATCCACTCTGACCCATTTCTCCTTCTGTCAGGACAGCGAGGATCAACTGCTTGCTATTTGGCACAAGTCCTAGCAAGGGCCCCGAGGATCAGGTCTGATCATTTTAGCTCAGACTTATTCTGGTGAGGGGATACGGAGACTAAGCTCTCAAGTCAAGCTGAACAAGAACACCCAAAAGGCAGCTCCAAATACTGTGAACAGAGTGAGAGATAAAAAGAATACGCTTTGAGTTTTTACCTTTTTTTTTTCTTTTATTTCCATCCCTGATATTACAGTTTCCATCTCAGACAGAATACATTCTTATTCATGAGTTGCGTTTCGTATTATTTCATCATTAGTGAAGCATCTGTGAGTTTGACTTTGGCTGTAAGTTTTTTAGCTGTTTGTGTTTTGCATGTTAATGCGCCTAACTCCGAATGTGTTTGTGTTGCAGCTGAATTGGAGTCAAAGGCTGCACTCCACTGCGGCAGAAATATATGCTGTATTATATTGATTTGGGTGTGTGTTTGTGCTTTAAAAAGAATTATCTCTCACCCATCAGGCAGCCTGCGAGACGCGACTGAACAAACACATACTACCGTGCCCTGCAATCGTATTTATCTTTGAACTTTTTTTTTTTTTTTTTTGCTTTTTTTTTGGTAAAAACGTCAACAGTTTTTATTGGATTTTGTGTGATAGACCAACACAAAGCAATGAATAATTGTGGAGATGAAGGAAAGCGATGCAGGATTTTTATGAATTATGAAAATCTGAAAACTGCTTGACTACTTCATGTGCAATTCCAGCAGCTGGGATATGTTTCTACCAGCTTTGCTTCTCATCATTCATCTTTACGAAACAGCTCAACCTCAGTCAGATGGGATGTAGAGCATCTGTGAACATGAATTTTAAAACACAGATTCTCAGCTACGTTTTTGGTCTGGACTTTACCAATGCCACTCTACGGACTCTTATCTTTTACCTAAATCAGTTTATTGCAGCTTTGGTTGAGTCGGGTCTCGAATGTCCTGGATATTATTTAGTGGCATTAAAGTAAAGACGGCTATTTGCACACATTTGTAAACATGTAAAAACCATGTCAGCACTTTCTTTCCACTTCGCAGTTATTCCCTTTGGTGGTAGTTTGTCACTTTAAACTGGAAAAGAAAAAAAAAACACGTTGACGTTTACGGTTTTAAGGTGAGGAGGAGAAAAGGTTCTAGGCATATTGATACTTTTGCAAGGCACAGAACAGCACAACACAAAACAAAGGACAAGGAGAGACTAACCTCAACTTCCTGTGGCAGAAACCAGCAGCGTGGAGGGAATGGAGAAAGAAAAGAATATATATATCGTGTTAAAATTTATAACAGATTTCTTGTTACCAGTGTTTAGCATGTAGAGAGCCATTTGGCCATAGCAGGAGTTAGGCTGTCAGACCATAACACACTGATTGCAAATACATGTAGTCTCCAGGGATCGCATAAGACAATCACAGGGGATTATTTGAACCTATTAACTGAAAATGATCAGCTGCCACTTCTATTCGCTGGCAGAGGTCCTGAGCGCAAGGGGTGGGCTCCATTCGCTGTCTGTGATTGCATCCCAGAAAGCAACAGTCTCTCTCTTCCAGCTCAGAAGTTGTGTTTTTAGCTGTAAGTACTGTAAGCTTTGTGAGGACACGTCTTTAAATTCAACGGGAAGCTGGGACGTTTTTCTATCGTAGCGGCAAGAACAAACTAAACAAAGAGCTGACGACAGAGAGATGTAGCTTCTTTAAAGGATAACCTTGAGTCAACATATCAGTGACGGTTTCCCTTTTATCCCATTTCACCTCCCTGGTTTCAGTCCAAGGGCATTGCACATCAATACCCACCTCATCCTCCCCCTGTGTGTTTTATCCTCCAGAAAAGCAGTGTGTTTAAGAGAAACACAACATTGTACGGTTTGCCTCATTATACTACCGTATAAAACAGCACATTCTTTTAACATATATGCACCAGTACATGGTGAAAGTGTAAGTCATAAGAGACTAAATCTCTGGTTTTTCAATAAGTGACTTGTATTCTAACAATTAACCTTTGCAAAAGAAACTGATCACTTTTGAAAGAGTTAGCTCAGCGTCACTCAAACACAGAACAACATTGTCCACATAGAGGGTAAGTTTATGCTCCACTCTGTTAAAATCTTGAGATTTAGAATTGTGTGGCTCTGTAAATGGCATGAATATGAGTAGAGAACAAATGCAACTTTGCCTCAAGCCACAAAATAAAGAGCTTGGGTATGTCATTGATTCTGATTCCACATAAGGAGTTATTGTAAACTTTGAGGTCTGCTGCTGCTGCTGCTCTCCAGAGACCAAACCTACAACTAGCTGTGAAAAATTATTTCTGATTTAACAAGTCAGAAGAGTTTTTTTTTTTGTTTGTTTGTTTTGAATCAATACTTGACATTTTGTTTCCAAAGTTTCTTTATTAGGTAGTAATTTTGCAGTCTGCTCTGTTTTTTTGTTGTTGTTTTTTTAGTTGTTTTTCACTGCTTTATCTGTTTTACTTTATCTGGATTCACAAACACAATGGAAACACATTCATCAAGTCAAGCGTGTGGGAGCAATTTATTCTTTTTTTTTTTTTTTTAAATCAGGTTACAAAAAATACAGCAGTTGCAGTGAAGTGACCAAAAATGTAGAAAAAAATATACACATATTATGTATTTGTATATTATAGATATATACATACAGTTAGCTGCCATTTTTATAGCCTTGTGCTTCCTACATTGAATCTGACATAAAGTTTCCTGGAAAATAATCTATTTATAATTGGTAAAAGCCAAAATATCATACAGAAAAGCTGTTGTAACAGTAACACCTACATCATCATAGAAAGCAACCTTTCATTGTCAGGTTTGCATCTTGACACTGAAATTAATAGTAAAAGGTCAAAAGCTGAAATTTCCCATAAACATATCATTACAGATCACTAGCCATAAGGCAGAGAATCAGACTACATCAAAGATGCTCAACCCTTACATCCGATGTACTTAGTTAATTAGCTGCAAGGATTTTGCAGTTGCCTGGACTGACATAAGACCAAGAAAGGGTTTAAACGCAGAGGTCCTTTTCTTTTGTCAGCAGCAGTGTGACAACAAGGACAGCAACTGTGTTTAGTCCTTCACCAAGGTTGAGAGCTAATGCTGTCCCCATGAATCCTAGGGAGGCAGCTGCAAGAGTTCCTCGACAACAGCTAAGGAGGGAGGGGAAAGATCAGGGAGCAACGGCGGGGGAATGAATCAGCTGGAGGTCCCCCGAGCTGATTCATATCACACACACCACCTCTCCTGCCATTTGTCAACAAGGCTGTAACGCAAGCCGGTGTAAAACAGAGCCAGGAGCCTAATGGAGCTTGACTATCCAGATGCTGCGACTGCTCCTCCTGGACTGCTTGCCGGCATTAGGCTGACAACGTTTGGCCGCAAGCCTGACTGCACTCCTCTGAGTTAACGTCTAGCTCACCTTGCCAGGGCCTTGTCTGCTGGAGACATAAATACCACTAAAAACCCCTCAACCTGCCAGCTGCAAACCTCAGCCAGTGCTGCAGCACAGAAAAAAAAAACAAAAAACATTTGAATCACGAGCACTGACATCAAAAATGTTTATGCACATTGGATTCCAGCTCAGCATGACTGCAGCAGGGCTGCTCCTAAACCGTTTAACTGCATGTCTGTCTCATTCAAAGATATGAAGTTCAATGCCGTTTGTAATGGGATTTGGCTCGCACTGCTCCAGTTACTCACTGTGACACACTGGATTTGGTGCCATATAATAATGTCTAAAATAATGACATCTATTTTACAAGTTCTTTAAGCCGACAGGACGTTTCTGCAAGCCCGGAGATTAGCTCTGGACCATTTGACAGTATAATAAACAACTGAACAAATAGAATCTGTCATAAATTGCCAAAAAGCATCAGAGAATAGCATCAGGCCATATAGACCAACATTTTTAAAGGCAAAATAAAGAAAGACATAAACTTCAAAGATCAAAATAAACAAAAAAGTAATGACAGTGGAAAATAGACAATGTTGTGTTTTGGAGTGATATAATTCTTCCAGAACTCAATGAAATGCAGAAAAGAAAAGCTAAACAGCTTTGATAGACATTTCACGTTTCTTTATAAACATATAATTATTTTATACAAAAGTGGATATGACTTGTTTTTGCGAGGCTCAATAACATTTTTAAATAAAGCGTCAGAATCAGCAAAAAAGATTAAAACCAAAAAGTACCCAGAATTCCACGTGGCTGCATCTTCTGGTCATTTTCTTTTCATTTAAACTTCAAATCTAACATAACTACTGGCACCAGGAACTACGGGAGCCTGGATGGGAATGTAGGCTGTAAGTGTCTGAAATCACGATGCTGATTCTTTGGTATATTTCCTGCAACTGTCCCATGAACCAATTCAATCAGCTACACAAAGGTAGGGAAACTTTTCAGAAGAAATCCCCCACTCTCTGTGCAATAACAGCTTGCCTCATCCTCTGCAGTATTCCTTATTGATTTTCTGAGGCCAATATTTGCCGAGAGAACATCTCTTAAGCTGCCGGATATGAGATGGAGGTTAAATGATGATCTGGACGTTTTGCATCCCCCACTAGTTGTCATTTATCCAGCTTCTTGAAGTCATTTAGTCTGCCGGTGACTGGATAAACACAGGCTGATGGATGGACCAGTGTTCTGGGTCATGTCTGTAATGAAAGAACAGAACCAGCAGAGGCTTTTTCTCCGCTGATTGCTCCACTCTGTGCTCGGGTTGTGTCATACGAGTGGATCACTGATGTGCATCAGACTGTTTGACTGGCAGAACAATGTCAGCTCATCATTTCGCTCCGCCGTGATTTGCACGGTAATGTGTTTTGCCTGATTAATGCAGCTGAATTAGTTGCGTACCCCCAGCCTGTACTTTAAATTGCTGCAAAGGGCACACTGTTCGGATGCTGTCTTAAATCCATCCTTTCCGGAGCAGCGGGAGTGCATCTTCGCTTCGCCGTGTCATTATGTCTCTGCGATTCAGCATGCTGGGGTCTGAGTGGTGGAGGTAATATCTGGTTCTGTTTGTGGCCCGCAGTCTCAGAAAATCGCAGAGAACTTGGCAAACAGAGGAAGGCACAGACCAACCACAGATTCAAACAATCGTAAATGAACTGTAGAGTTTTTGAAATGACGCTGCTCACTGTTTTAATCTGAACCAGTTACATTTTCACATTCCGCAGCCCAAAAGCATTTATTCGGTGTTGTACAAAATTGCGAAGTGGGAAAAATAGCGTGTGGTTTGTGAATGTTTCTGCAAATAAAAATTTAAATAACCTCCCACTACAATTAAAGCGGTGGGTTTGAGTTAGGTTTGAGGAATGAGACTGTGTTTGTTGCCACTTTTGTTTGCAAAAATGGTCAATCCAAGTCTGACTCAATGGAGTCAAGTCATGCCATAAACGATTTAGATGAGAAATTCTACTATGTGAAAATGCTTTGATCCAAATCACTCAAATGCACCTCTGGCTGTATGTTTATAGTCGTTCTGCTGGTGGTTCCTGAACCTACGACCCGGTCTCAAGTCATTAACAGCTTTTCTTCAAGGGCTGCTGTCTTCACATCAACTCTGACCTGCTTCCCTGTCCCTGCTGAGCGAAAGTATATCCACAGCATAATGCTGCAGCCACAATGCATCATCATGGACACACAAAGTGTTTTGCATTTTGGAGATACAGTTCAGGTTTGGTCTCATCTGACCAGAGCCAAAAAGTGGACATTTATTATTATTATTTTTTATTATTATTTCACAGAACAGCTTTATTTATACTGATATAACTTCTAAAGGCAACTTTTTGCAGTCAATGGTTATCAAATGGATCCAAATGAACACTTCAAAATATCATGCGTTAAAAAAATAACATTTTCCTGTCACTTTGCAGATATATGATACTATGTATTTGTCAGTCACGTAGTTTGAGTAAAATATGGAAGTTTGTGGTTGCAATGATTATGATACTTTTGCAAGAGACTGGTATAAAAAAAAAGCAATTGTGTTTTCACTTATAAAAGAAACAGAAACCACAGCAACAACTTTAGATGTGCTTGCAAGTCATAGCTTTTGCACTACAGATAATGTGACAGATGTAAACAATTCTGCTGCAGCAGAGGCAGACTGTGGTTGCATTGTGTTGTTCTTAAGATAACTGTGTACCACAGGATATGAAGTCAGAGATTTTCCCATCACATTTCAAAGACAACAGAAGAAAC